AAGATCTGGCTGTGTAAGCCTCTACAGACCTGTGTCTGATACCATGTTCTGTCTCTATGTCTTCCAAGTGGAACTCAGCCCAGGGATCAGGCATCTGTTTGGCCTTCTGAATAGCATGTTTCCAAGCTTCCTGCAAAAGACATAAAACGCAGGCATTGAAATGGACTTTGGCCAAGAGTACAGACAGATTGAGAATTATCCTTACAGTAAGTTCAACCTTTCACGGAATAAGAAAATTTGGTCAGTAAGAACCTTTGTGAAGCTACATCACCCAGGGCTTTTTTCATTCTGTAATAAATGTTATTTAAATCTCAAAAAGAGTAAAAATGAAAAGATGATTGAATTTAACAAACAAGTATGGTGAGAATTAGTCCCAGACTGACATCGTATGGTGTACAGGCTTTACTTACACCGTGACATGAGCCACGTTCAGCACAGAACAATGTAACCAGACAAACTACTGGAAAATATGTTCTGGCTATTCCTGAATTTCATCCCTCCGGCCAATAACGTCAAATTTTCCTGCCTTCCATCAGAATATCCATTATCTACTCTATTTATCATACGGCAGAGTGCTTTCAGTGAACGTGTTACACATGCTAGACTGTAGGCTAATGGGCAGAATACTCCGTTCTTTTGTGTAAGTTGATATTTGTATTGCACAGTCTTACTGCAGCCCGAGGCGCTCCCCAAAAAATCATGAGTGTTGTATTTTTCTTGTTTTTCCTCTTCAAATTGGTATTCGATTTGTCTTTTTTTTGTTTTTGTTTTTGTTTTTGAAGAGATAGATCTGCTTAAAACATTGTTGTGATTTCAATATTTAGTTATTTAGATTTTGCGGTCTTTTTTAATAGTTAAATTTGGTAAAGAAGCAAAAAAACTAAATCTTTAAAAACTGAAAAGCAAGGGTACATGTGCATTAAACATGCATCCAACATTAACATTTGAATAAGGTAGGTAGGCCCATCTTTAGTAATAATGGTGAATGACCTTTAATACCATTTTATGGATTGCGGTAGTTGGACAGGAAGTCTGACTGTGGACTGCAACTCTCACTATACTTGGAGTGATTGAATATAGCTGTCCAGTGTGATCACATGAATCAATGATGCAGGTAAACAATTCTTTGCTGTAATTGAGACGGAACATGTCATGCAAAGAAGGAATAAAATGCAGATTTCATATAAAGGATGTGAAATGAGTCATATACTTAAGGATCCCATTCTTTATACACTTTAAAATGTAAAATATTGGTAGCTGAACCTACATGTGAAAAGAATCTGCAATAGACACTAGGATTAGGGGGGAGTCTGCCAACTACTGCTAGTTTATGGGTCTATAGTAGAAGATGATGCAGTGCAGGTAGTGTTTAGGGCTCACACTGCTCAAGAGGTACAACGCTTACCACTTGTGTGGCATCACTGGGAACTTTTCACAACCCCATTCCTGTTCCCCCTCTGTGATTACAGAAGGGGACTGTCCTGGGCAAACAGGAGCAAGCGGAACCAGACTGGGAAAGTAACACCTCCAATATTATTATTATTATCATTTATATAGCGCCAACAGATTCCGTAGCGCTTAACAATATTTTGAGAGGGGGGATGTAACAATAAATAGGACAATTACAAGAAAACTTACAGGAACAATAGGTTGAAGAGGACCCTGCTCAAACGAGCTTACAGACTATATTGAGGAGTTTGTGAAATTTGGGTTAATATGGGGGGCTTGATCTACATATTGCTCCCGCATGTCTGGAAAAGAAAGGTTTTACCTGAAGCCCCAATATTTAGCAGCCAAACCCCATGTGAAAAACCATCATCCATACAAAGTATGTCCTGGAGTAACACTAGGTACTTCCCTGTGCTTTTTATATTTTTTCTCTTTAACGTGTATATATTTATTTTTATTCTAGGCGACATTAGGTGTCTTTTTTGACTAAGGATGTCTTGAAGGAGGAGGAGGGCAGAACACTGCAGAGATACTAACAAATTAATTCCTGTATTGATTGGTATGTTTTATGTATCTGCCATCTAATTGTAACAGAAAATTGGGTACCTTAAATATACGCTCACAAAAAGTTAGACGGAAAACAGGGAGGATGAAAGGTCCAAATTTATAATAACACATACCCGACCTCGATCAGTCAAGCAGCCATGCTTAGAAAAGTGGCGTTTGTCATTCTAGGAAATGCACAAGATACATTAATCGAACCAAATCACCAAAAGCAGAAAACAATACAACATTGCTCATTAAGGAAGCACATTCAGTCAGACAATAGCAAACTGTGTCATCAAAACATATATACCATCAGAGACAAAGTAGAAGAGTTGGTTTGTTATCATGAACATTGTAAAATATATATATATATATATATATATACACATATATATATATATTATATATATATATATTGACAATCTTTGGTACCGTAGCTGTGGACTATAATTTGCATGATGCTACCGGACCTTCACTGAAATCAAACTACCCAATGGCTTCAGTGCTAAAGGTTAGAGAACTCTGTAGTTCAGGTAGATTGGCTGATTGAGTAGCATTAGCACATGCTACATGTAAACTATATTAAAATCTACAATTCTTTACCCAGAGAACAGAGCAATAGCCTGAATGCCGGGGTTACTCGGAAGAGTTATGGCAAATCTATCGGAATGACAAAACTGCTGGTAGCTTGATCAAGTTAAGCAACACCAAAGACTATTTAGATTACATCACTTTTATAAAGAGAATTTTTGCAGATAATTATCTTGATGATCATCCAAGAATGTCACATGCACATTATATGAAGGGTGGATTTATGCCCAAGGCTTGCTGCCAATAAAAACCTAGGCGATATATATTAAAATATAGTTTAGCAATGTCTTCTGTTTTACAGATAATATATTAAAAATATGCAAAAAAATACATAGATTAATGTTCCTGCACTTGCTACAAATTGCTTGGCTTTGCAGCTTCTGCAGTGAGATCTACTCAGACCAGGAAGTGACCAGTCATGATGCTCTTTTAAAGGGGCACTATAAACTGCAACCACAAAACCAACCTAGTAAAAATAAAAACTTAATTAGGGTATATGCACCTCACAGTAAAATATGGCAAATCAACACACAAAAACTGCAAAATATATGCCATAAACTGCGTAGATGGATCACATTTTCAACTACGCAAATTCCACTGTCTACTTAGCGAATAAACCCTTTCACTACTCAGAAATGCCTGGGCTGTAGTCCTCTCAGTGAGTAAGTAGTGTAAAATGCAAACAATTCCCATGGCACACAGAGACTAAATCTTTTCCCTTCTGAGCATAATTTTCCTGCTTTAAAAAATAAATAAAGAAGAAACACAAAATGCATGTATCATGAAAAATAATATGTAAAAATTTTTTTATAAATATACATACACACAGAGTTATGGTGGGGAATAATAGTGATTGAAAGTCTCTTCCACCTGAAGTCAGTGGATAGTCAATACATTGTTAAACATAGAGCTGCACACCATTCAAGCTATAAGACTTGCTTTTTCCATAGAAATCTCGATTTTGGAGTGATGGGATTCTGGGTGGGTAGATGCAAGTTAATACAACAAAGAACCCAATTTTTGCCTCCATATCCCATTTTAAACATGGATTCCTTAGCGTTTAAGTTTGCTGTATAAAACAGCTTTGAAACACAACTCAGGAAGAGATGCAAAGCCAGTGGACAGCTCATAAACAGCCGTTTCGTGCAACTCCTCAGCATGAGGTTGGTTACTGGCTTGCTAGTAAGGCTTGGCGTTACTTGTGGAGCACAAACCAAACTTTGCATCACTTCCTGTTGGTCAGCTGGATATGAATAACAGAATTTAATGTATGCATTACCTGTGCAGATGTAACGGGGTGCCTGCTGGTGAGAACCCTGTCTAATTTTTTTGTCAAATAGCTCCAAATGGGTTTGATAGAAACGGCGGTATGGAACCCAAAGAATCATAGCACCATGACTACTACAAAGAGCTACAGTGGTTATGGTGCTTACCGCGCTCTCTTCAAGATATTACTAGGGTCCTGGAGGTTCTAAAAAATATCTATTCTTAGCACAGGGGCTTCCCAGCTACATGTAAACAATAATGTCACGTCTGTTTAGTTTTGGACGCCACTGACTAGCTGAGAGCATCGACTGACACACTCAGCCAATCAATGCCATTCAAATTTAGTAAATCTCAATACTACTAATTAGAAGTGGAATTTCCACACATACACACACCGGAGAATGAGGGGGTGGATCAGGGGCACCGGGGGACATTTGGTGTCAAACTGCTCAAAATGTTTTCACTCAGAACCGGGAGGATAGCGTCTGCAGCGTGCCATCACAATAATAACTACCGTGGGTTAAAGTGGTTATGGTGCACTGAGTGTTTTATTTCCTTAAGAAAAAGAAAATATTAAAAAGCATATGAAAAGATGGCATTTACAGTGATGGAGGTGGTCTTTTTAAGCAAATTAATTGATCTACAATTTGCAGGACAATTCATCAGGAGAAAGAAATATACAATGTGTAGAAAAACCAGACAGACATTTAAACAGTTGCATGGATATCTCTATACACAGAGAGGAGTAATAAGCAAAATGCTATTTCCTGATACACTGGGGCTTTAACTAGTAGATGTTGCAACACAGATCAAATACAGACAACCATCAATTTCAATGGATTATACAAGCCCAGGCTAGTATCTAAAATTGGTTTTCAACTTTAACCCCTTAAAGTCCAACGATGTACCATTTCACCATTATTATAATTAATATACTGTATCCCCTTTAGGGCCAGGATTAGGCAAATACCTTGTAATTATGCCAGTCCTGACATGCTATTGGTCCTGGAGGAATTACACTGTAGTGGACACACACACACATACATGCGTGTACAGCAATTTAACCCCAATGCACTCCAGCGCAAGCCTTCCCATCACCCACAAGCTATCCACAAGCCTTCCCATCATCCACAAGCTTAGAATGTCTCTAGAATACTTAAAATGAAATTAGATGAACAAGTTAACATTAATTTAACACTCTGTATTCACACATCTTCCAGATTAATTTCTCTGCCTCTATTCATGCTGCAGCGCAATGGATTTTTTTTAGGTTGTACATATATTTCTAGAGGTCTCTGTTCCTGAACAAAAGGCAAAAAAATCGATGTTTTTTACACTTATTTTGGCACGCTTAGCCATGCATTCGGCATTAAAGGGTTGGTGCCTGTATTAGTTATGCCGTTCCTTTAAGAACTACTGCTTGACGTGATGAGCTAATGTATATGCTTTAATAGTAACTAAACAGATTATTTTGACATGTGCATCTAAATAAGGACATAATCCTGTTTCTATCTATAGTTAGAGGTTCTTAGAGGGACAATGTCACGTATAGCAGGATTCCATCTTCAAGTAATGGCAATTAAACAGCCGAGACCGCAAACATATATACATATAATAAAAAATGAAGCTATTTAACTTAATTCAGTTTCAGAGGTAGGTTACCAGGAAGCCGAAATCTGCCACAGGTGACCTACTATAACATTCCATTCTCTAACAAGCTTGTTGAAATCGATACATAATTTAAACTTTGTTTAAAAGGTGGTGACTTGCAGAGTTTTTTCCCCCCACAATTTTATCTAAAATGTGTAAAAACATTTACAGGTTAGTGAATAAGTCACATAAATTATAATGTCAGGTAAGAACCAACTGGCCTAGAGTCTTTATTAGCTAAATGATCAATTAAATATATTGCACACACACATCTGTCTCCCGAAGGGTTAAGTGGATATGTTTTTGTGTTAAAATGGGAGGAGGGGGCTTGTCTATAGAATAAAAAGCCTTTGACCCCTGCAGAAAGACTGGTTGAGAACTACTCTAAACTAGTTCTGACCAGACATGCTTCAAAACAATTCATTCATGTTGATTGATGAAGGTATGGTTAACCCTTTTATTAACAGAAAGGCTAATTGGTTAACCCTTCAAACTTTCATGATGGGTTTGTATTACACATAATCCTCATCATACACAATTCTATGGCAGATCAGAACAGTATCGCTGTTTCAGATAACTGTAGGGCTTTTAAACTGATAATAGTAGGTTTGGACTTGCAAGTTTTTGTATATGTTCATAAAGAATTCTTTAGGATTTTCTCAATTAAATTTTTTGCATGAATACTGGTAACCAGATACCCCAATTTATTATAGGCCATTATATTCCGACCAATCTAAAAATCTTTCAATCTAGTCTTAAAATTAACCCAACGTCAATATATCTTCAAAACAAAATCATTCAGTACAAAATTTCATTAACATCTCGTCTATATTTAAGGTGACCCACAAAGCACCTTAATAACTTGCGTTCCTTGTAAACATTATGGGACAAAAACAACCCCTGCATTGGTCTCCCCACACATAGGGTGAGATGTATCTGTTCTGTCCTTAAAGTCGTATAAAGTACTAAAATTAAGGCAATCACCATGTATCAACAGGCACATTCCACAGTTACCGTTCACATTTTTTCAATCAGATTTTAGAAATAAACACTTTGATAAATCTTCCCCATAGTCTTGTAACTGCACAAATTTACATTAAAGGGACACTATAGTCTCCAAAACAACTTTAGCTTAATGAAGCAGTTTTGGTGTATAGATCATGCCTCTACAGTCTCACTGCTCAATTTTCTGCCATTTAGCAGTTAAATCACTTTGTTTCTGTTTATGCAGCCCCAGGCACACCTCCCCTGGCTGTGATGGTTTCATTTTCAATCAGATGTAACTAACGTTAAATTTTTTTATCAAATTGAACTTAAATCACATACAGGAGGCTCCTGCAGGGTCTAGCAAGCTACTGACAGAGCAGGAGATAAGAAATCCTAGACCTAAATCAAACAGAATTTGCAACAAAGGAAGTGTAAACATTAGAGGACTCTTTACAGGAAATATTTAGGAAGACTGTGTAAGTTACATGCAGGGAGGTGTTGCTAGGTCTGCATAAACAAAGATGGCAGATAATTAAGCAGTGAGACTGTAATGCCATGATCTATACATCAAAACTACTTCATTACGCTAAAGCTGTTTTGGTGACTACAGTGTCCCTTTAATCACTCTAGCCACAAGCCTATTCCCTTATTTCAATGTCATAGTGGGAAGCCATTCTTCCCTTTACCTGTACATTTACTTGTATTAAACTAAGAAGCTGTGTTGAAGAGGTTCAGAGACCTGTAAAACTGACTACTAAACCACAGCTCCCAGAAACCCATAATAATATAATTATACCCATAAAAGCTTTGCTGTGCAAGTATTTATAGAATAAGCACTTTACTGACACTGAAAAATAAGCAAGCCTCATGTTTATTTGAGCCATTTTCTGGTCAATAAGAATAGGTCAGTTCCATCCCAGAATGTCACTCTAATTTACATAAATATTGCGTTCTTATCTGGCGAGTTGGCTGTACAGGGAGTGCAGAATTATTAGGCAAATGAGTATTTTGACCACATCATCCTCTTTATGCATGTTGTCTTACTCCAAGCTGTATAGGCTCGAAAGCCTACTACCAATTAAGCATATTAGGTGATGTGCATCTCTGTAATGAGAAGGGGTGTGGTCTAATGACATCAACACCCTATATCAGGTGTGCATAATTATTAGGCAACTTCCTTTCCTTTGGCAAAATGGGTCAAAAGAAGGACTTGACAGGCTCAGAAAAGTCAAAAATAGTGAGATATCTTGCAGAGGGATGCAGCACTCTTAAAATTGCAAAGCTTCTGAAGCGTGATCATCGAACAATCAAGCGTTTCATTCAAAATAGTCAACAGGGTCGCAAGAAGCGTGTGGAAAAACCAAGGCGCAAAATAACTGCCCATGAACTGAGAAAAGTCAAGCGTGCAGCTGCCACGATGCCACTTGCCACCAGTTTGGCCATATTTCAGAGCTGCAACATCACTGGAGTGCCCAAAAGCACAAGGTGTGCAATACTCAGAGACATGGCCAAGGTAAGAAAGGCTGAAAGACGACCACCACTGAACAAGACACACAAGCTGAAACGTCAAGACTGGGCCAAGAAATATCTCAAGACTGATTTTTCTAAGGTTTTATGGACTGATGAAATGAGAGTGAGTCTTGATGGGCCAGATGGATGGGCCCGTGGCTGGATTGGTAAAGGGCAGAGAGCTCCAGTCCGACTCAGACGCCAGCAAGGTGGAGGTGGAGTACTGGTTTGGGCTGGTATCATCAAAGATGAGCTTGTGGGGCCTTTTCGGGTTGAGGATGGAGTCAAGCTCAACTCCCAGTCCTACTGCCAGTTCCTGGAAGACACCTTCTTCAAGCAGTGGTACAGGAAGAAGTCTGCATCCTTCAAGAAAAACATGATTTTCATGCAGGACAATGCTCCATCACACGCGTCCAAGTACTCCACAGCGTGGCTGGCAAGAAAGGGTATAAAAGAAGAAAATCTAATGACATGGCCTCCTTGTTCACCTGATCTGAACCCCATTGAGAACCTGTGGTCCATCATCAAATGTGAGATTTACAAGGAGGGAAAACAGTACACCTCTCTGAACAGTGTCTGGGAGGCTGTGGTTGCTGCTGCACGCAATGTTGATGGTGAACAGATCAAAACACTGACAGAATCCATGGATGGCAGGCTTTTGAGTGTCCTTGCAAAGAAAGGTGGCTATATTGGTCACTGATTTGTTTTTGTTTTGTTTTTGAATGTCAGAAATGTATATTTGTGAATGTTGAGATGTTATATTGGTTTCACTGGTAATAATAAATAATTGAAATGGGTATATATTTGTTCTTTGTTAAGTTGCCTAATAATTATGCACAGTAATAGTCACCTGCACACACAGATATCCCCCTAACATAGCTATAACTAAAAACAAACTAAAAACTACTTCCAAAAATATTCAGCTTTGATATTAATGAGTTTTTTGGGTTCATTGAGAACATGGTTGTTGTTCAATAATAAAATTAATCCTCAAAAATACAACTTGCCTAATAATTCTGCACTCCCTGTATACATTTCAGTAAAAGGCAGAGCTTGATAACGGAAGCTCCTAGGCAAGGGGATTCAGGTTTTCACTTTCAGTTACAGAAAGGTAGGAACGGATGCACAACGGACCCCCAGATAAAAAGTCAAACTGTTTAAAAAAAACTGTTTTACTTACAAGGGGTGGTGCCAAGGCACTATTGGCACCATAACCACTACAGAATTCTGTAATGGTCATGATGTTTGGAGTATTCCTTTAAGTAAAAAAACAATTAATCTACATAGATAAGCAATCTGTCTAGCACAATATATAGAATACAGGTTAAATGTTATGCTCTATAAACAAATCAAGAACAATGGCATGGCCAGTTCATTGATAGTACTTCTTGCACATATCTCTGCTATATGAGCACTGTGTCCCAGTTACATACGGTGTACCTGCACTCACATTGGATATTCACACTCAATTCCCTGCTATTAACTCTTTGGGTGTCAGAGCTCTGTCCAACATAGGATTTGGGATGCGTTGGGCACAGCCATGGAATTAAGGAGGTTATATTACTAGCTAATATTGTAAAATCATTGTTGTGATAGATTTGTATGTAACTTTTTGCTGTCTGCACAAACACTACATATTTTTCTTCACACATTTTCCTATGATCTTACACTCTGTCAAATGACGACCGTACATGAATATCACAAGTATGTGTGAAAAAGCAAGGTGCTAATAATTTCATCTGCTGTGTTCCCACTCGTTTTGCAGGCAAGAGGGAAACTAAATCTATTTTACATATAGCAACTGGAGTGGTTTTCATAGACCAGAGCAAAAAAATGCAATCATGTAATTGGCCATATTTAAAGAAACATTCCAAGCACCAAAACAACTACAGGAGTGCCCTGGTCCCAGAAAACAAAAGTCAAACCGCTCAAAAAGGTTTCACAGGGTGCCACTCCTGGCAGCATAACCACTACAGAAACCGTCAGAGGTTATGGTGCCTGGCGTGTTCTTTAACACCAACAGTTCTATATGCAACCCTTCTGTTCTTATATATCACACTGCAATATCTTTAATGCAGACTGGAAGATACCAAGAGAATAAGCCTGCAATCATTCATGCTTTCACTAATGCACTGTTCTCCCTTCTCCTACCTAAGACAAACAATCCATGGGTAGAAGGTAGCACTGTGCTCCACGATGGGGCGAAATGCGTCAGATGGACTGTTTTCATCTCCTATTATTTGTGATTATTTTGTATTAAGAAACTCCTGGAACAAAATCTCAATATGGGGCATCTTTGACTTTCCAAATTTACTTGATCACAGGGGAGGTTGCATAGATACCATCAAGAACTCCCTACTCATTTTAAATACTGTTAGACAATGACCTTCACACTAAGTTGAGAAACTTATCAGTCAGGATCTAATATACTTTCACAATGAAGTAAATGAAAGGCACGAAAACAGAACAAGCTGCTAAAATCAATAAATATTTTTAAGGAAATTTGATAGATATATACAATAAAAAAAATATTTCACCACTACCTAATGTGCAGGGCTGTCCCTGTAATACACAATATACTGATGTCAGATCCAGGGTGCTAATTACCTTTGTAATAACTGCTACCATAACACCTAATTAAAGAAACATCTGGATGTATAATTATTGTGATCTGATACACAATAAACTGGATGCATTTGCAGCCATTATACTCCTAGAAATAAAGTTTAACGAATGCAATAATCCACCTGCTAGATCATAGTTTAAACAGTGCACGCTGTGTAAAGGCTACAAAATGCAATCAGTTTTTCACGATCGTCTGGTTTTTGTCACAGGGAAGATAAGTCACTCTAAATGTCATTTAGGTATGATACATGACTAGCATAACTGAATGTCTGCATCATTTACAGCATAGGAAGGCCTTCAAATTGAATCATTCGCAATCTGTTCGGGCAGACACTTAATTTTCTGACAATCAAATTGTCATCAGAAAGTCAGCTTCGTATTAAATTCAGATTATTGTCTCTGTACAGTAAGAGCCTAGCATGTGATTAATAATAAAATAATATCCTAAATCATAATTAAAATAATCAATCCCTGTACTTCCACAATGACCTGGGTTTTCAAAACCAGTAACAGGACTATGCTGCATCTCGTACTACTTTTACAAACAAAATCAGAATAGAATTATCTCAGATTTTCTGTAGAAGCTGCCAATTTTCACAAATGAGTGATGGGTCTCTATGGCAATGTCTTAGTCTGTGCCAGATTGAGTGGAATGTACTCCTTTCCACCCAAACATTGTACACACAGGGAAGGAACACAGAATTCAGAAGACAGATCCTGAAAACGTAATCTGAATTTGTGCTTCTCTATTCCAGTCAAGGAATACTATAAGGCACTGGGTTCTAAAGGTTAAATGTCTGGTGAACATCATACAACAGATCATATATTGAGTTCTGACATCTGGTTGTGAGGATTCCATCACATTTGATTGACTACTTAACTTGTTCTGAAATCCCTGACAGCGTACCAATGGGTCTTTTAAAATGTGTGAATACCGATATTTATAACAGAGCATCTCTCTGCACTATGTAGGCTGCCCTTGATATAATCAACATAAGAGGAAACATTGGCTAGATTATATTTATTTCAAACAATCAAGTCATCTGAATTCCTAAAATATTTTTTTTTGGGTAGATATATATTAAGGTTTGGTGTAGGACCTTTTATGTTTGATCACGTGATCATTCTATAGCGGCACAAACGCATGCTTCAACGCATGCAGAAATGGATGAAGGTGCAACGAAAGCAGTTGAAATATGGCAGCATTATCTTCTCTCCATAAAGATGGTCTCACAACTGGAAATTGCATTTTCTGTTGAACATAAATAGCTGTAGAAATGGTATTTGTTATAATTCAGTCTAAAACAAAGATTCTCATAGGGAGTAGATATAATCTTTCATCACAATGGTTACATTGACTGCTATATAAATCCTTTACCTTTACTGCATTACCATTTCTACTTCAATATAGCCTAAGCAAGGCTCCTGATTCCTAATAGATATTTTATTTATATTGGGACATTTGGCTAATGCCTTGTTTACTTGTCTTTATCTCTCGCTGTCTATCTTCATGCTGGATTAGGTGGATGTTCTACCTAGTTTGGTAAATTTGAAACTTCTCATTGGTCCTCTGAGTCATTCAACCTTAGCCATAGAGGTTTACCTCCTGCTTAGAAATGGGAAGATTCTATATTCAGAACATTTCCCGCAGTGTCTTCAACAATGCATAAATACTTCATCTCAGGTACTCAAGAGTGGCTGAGTCAGGTAATGCAGAGGATCTTGGAGCAACTCAAAGAAGAATACATTCTAGAATAGTGACTGTGAACACCATCATGACTGATATCAACACCCGGTGGACTTAACCAATATAGGTTTCTGCAGGGCTGGTCACGGTTATTCCGTGGGAATGTAGGACAGTGGTAATGGCATCACATGCCCTGGTCTAGTGACTACATGTGAAAACCACTATTTGAGGGCATATGAAATACCAAATTGTCTTCTTGCCTTTATCTAGACACGTACCTTAAAACTGAAGGAGTTTCTCGGAGAAGAGCTGGTCCCGTACACATTTTCTTTTCTCAAGTTGCTGAAAAAACGTGAATTCTTTTTGTTGGCCTCATGATGTGAGGCTGGGTCATCAGTTATGGGGCAGATGAAGAAGTTGTCGTCGTCATCACTGTCGGCCTTGCTGTAATCTGAGGTCCCTTCTCTTATTACACGGCTGTTGTCGAGGCCTTCCATGCGGAAGATAAGATCTTCGTCTGCCATGTTTTCTTGAGCTCTGTGATATTAGAAGATTATGCTGGATGTTCGAAATAGCCAGAGTGGTGCTGTATATAATCATTCAGCAAAGGGCCTGCATTATAAAAAAAAAAAAAAACATTAATCCATAATCACCAATTAACAGTGTAGCCTTTCACATTTACAGCTTAGATACAGCTACATTCCATTGCATGCACACAGTGACAAAACTGCCCCATAACTACATGGCATATGGGCTTTAAACCTGAACTGGTACCGACACTGACAATGTTTTTATAGAAACACATGAAGGCACACTTGTTTAATTTTTTGTTGCTTTCACCAGTGGGGGACAGGGGCGCTGAGGCACTGTGTGCCTGACCGTGAGCGACCCTGAACTTTCATGGAACTCTAAAGCGGATCCACTAAAACGTCAACAAGAACACTCTCGGTCCCAGGACCAGCAATTGATCAGAAGGTGTATTATTTATTGTGATTATGCATGACTCACTGTGTGTTGGTGTTTATTACTGCATTAATAACAAAATGAACAACAAAATGAAAAAAAAAAAAAAAAAAAATCATGTTGTATCTGTAATAAAAAAAAAGAAGGTTAAATAAAAAAAATAAAAAAAATAAATATGTTACTCTGTTTGCGCAGCTAAAAGATAGATCTTCCATGATGCCTTGTGAGCCATCAAGTTGCAAAAGCATCATGGGAGTTTTACAATACCCACTTGTGGCCACTCCTGCTTTTACCTTAAAATGCCCAGCCAAAACTTCACAATGTTGGCTCGGAACACAAGTATTAATCATTCACTAAATTCCTATTTGATTAAATCAGCTTTTTCATCAGAAAGAGATTTGATCAAAGTGAAAGGAAACCATTAACTTTTTCTAAGACAAGCAGAAAGAACCGTAAGGCTGTCACTTAGTGAATGAGGTTACTTAGTATTCCTGGCATTCCTATAGAATGTGGATTAGCACCACACAAAAGAACTAACAACTGGTTCGCATTTTTATACATGTATAGGTCCTGGACATATCGCATAAATTGGCTGGAGTTCGTAGTAAATCAAAAGACACCACCAAGAAACATGAGACCTATTCACTAAACAACAAATTGTAATAAATTGAAAGCAGGTCTGAAAAAATTAGCCAAATATAGCTGATTTGTAAAAATTCTTCAACACAGAAAATTACAACGTGACTATTTGTGGCCTAAATTTTGCAATTCTATTTTTCAATCACTAAAATTTAGTGTTTAGTAATTAAACTACTACATTTCAAACTTTTCTCTCATTTAAACACATTGTTACAAATACTTCATTGTAACGCCCTGCATGCAAACAATTGTGTAAACTTTGTTTTACACTGCAAAGTAATGCAAAATAAAATCCAGCCCATAATGCCTCTATTAACTTCCCCTTTGCAACAGTGCTGCTTTTAACGCTGCAGAAAATTGAAGTTTTCATTCCTCTCTCTTTAGATTTATGCAGATGAACTGTAAGTGCCATCACACCTCACCTCTCCCAACATTCCATAGAAAATCAGTCTTTAAAAATGGCTGTATTCTAATAGCAACCAGGGGAGGAGGCTGACAAGGATCCGAGCAGAGAACACTCTACAGAGGGATTTCTTTGAGGCTAGGAGAATACTCTGCTATGTCCTAAAAGTTAGAACATGATTAGTATAACTGTACTTACTGTATATGGTTATTATGCCCACGGACAGATGTTAGATTCTGGTGGTATTTCCAGATATTCAATTAGGTTCCTTACAAATATGTATAGTCTGTCTAAAAACTTTTCAAAGTGAAGATAGGTTATGGATTTGGTACATATAGTTCCTAGAGACCGATAACGGAGGGCCATTGAAGGGAGGTGATTCCCGAGCGCGCAGCCCAGCATCTTACCTATCACACTCAGCCAAAACACAACTGGAACTGTGTGCAGCCATAGGAATTGGACTTTACACCCATCTCCATACTTTCCTATATTCAGGAGTCAAAAATGCAGTACACCAGGGGTGAGATCTAATCCACATTCCTGTCAGGATATATGTATACATACATTCTGACTGTTTCTCTCTTTTTCCCATTTTTAAATTTTTTCCTTTTCTTACTTTTCTAAAAAAAAAAATAATAAAAAAAATATATATATAATAATAATAATAATAATAATAATAATAATGTATATACCTCCTGTGCACATAAAATAATTCGGATGTGTACACATTTTCTTGCAATATAGGGAGATATTCCCTGCTTGTTCTCATCTTTTTACTAAATGGAATTCTTGTGCTGCAAACATTTTTTACTATAGTATACAGTACAACCAATGTTACATCAAATATGATCACTGCTGAAATTAAAGGACCACTATAGTGCCAGGAAAACAATTGTTTTCCTGGCTCTATAAGGTCTCTAGGTCCCCCCACACCCTTAGGGTCCCCTCCCACCAGGCTCTAGGGGGAGGAAGGGGTTAAACACATACCTTTTCTCCACCGCCGGGCTCCCTCGGCGGTGGGGACTCTCCGCCTCCTTTCATTGGCTGAATGCGTGGCACGAACCTCGCGCGCATTCAGCCAGTCTCATAGGAAAGCATTCTCAATGCTTTCCTACGGACGCTGGCGTCTTCTCACTGTGAAAAGCACAGCGAGAAGGTGCCTCTAGCGGCTGTCAATGAGACAGCCACTAGAGGCTGGATTAACCCATAGGTAAACATAGCAGTTTCTCTGAAACTGCTATGTTTACAGCAGAAAGGGTTAAACCTAGATGGACCTGGCACCCAGACCACTTCATTGAGCTGAAGTGGTCTGGGTGCCTATAGTGGTCCTTTAATTCCTTATTGAATTATCTTTTCTTGATGGAATGAACTATACACAAAGCAACTAGTGAACTACAAATGAGATTATTTCCCTGCAGGAATTACTGTATACTGGATGAGATTTCCGTAGGAATTAATCACTTACTATCCTGTTATTGATCGTGTTGTATACAGATTTGTACATAAAGGAACGTTGATAGTGTATTTTGTTAATATTAGCACTTTAAGCACATGGTAAATTTTGGGCACTTGTCACTTTAAGATGATATATTTTCACTCTTGTGATATAGAAATTGGAGTTGTATTCAGGTATATGGCAATGTTCTGCTAATAAATCTTTATATTTTCTTCATGTTGAGTGCGGTATCAATTTTTGTATTTTGGAGATTTCATTTTTTGGCCTGAAGGGGTGGCCAAGTTACCAGCACCTATAATCTGATTGAGTGCTAAAACACTTTGTAATTTTGTATTAAATTAAAATGTTGGCCACCTACCTGAGAATTACACCGTTTACAGGAAGTAAAACACAGTAGTCATATAGATTTTGCATAGAAGAAAAAAAAAAAAAAAAACTACTTCTCAAAACTGGTTAAATTATACAGACTGTGGATCTCTTACAAACTGAAAAAAAGTTAAAGGGATAAAAATAAAACGGATTTTAGTCACTAAACAACTTGTGACAAACTGCCAAGAGAATTGCAAATTTTAGGCCCAAGAGCCATCAAGAGAACATGTGCAGTTGCCCACAGTAAATCCCCTTTCACTGTCCCCCTTTATCTCAGTGGTGATCACAAAAGAGGCTTTCTAAGTTTAGAACTGTACCTGCTGAGAGGGTGGGCAATGACAAGAGGGTCAGTGTTTAGATGTTCAACAAAAAATATCTGCAGGCTTTTCAAAAACCGACGTCAGCCAAAAGAACTGTTTGTGATAAGTTTTTCTTAACAGGAGGATAAACTGTACTATAACATATAATGGAGGCGGACACACTGACTTATCCAGAGCAAAGTTAGCATAAAATACGGCCCTGAACTGACATCTCTCACAATTATTCACAGTCAATTCATTAAATGGTGAATGTAGTGCATCGAAAACAGAACTGGTAAAATTAGGCAAAAATAATTCATTTAGAAAAATTATTCAGCTTAGTTATAAAAACAGTATGGTTATTTACTCTCAATTTTGCAAATCAGTTTTCAGTACATCAGTGTCTAAACCAATGTATGCACTGGTAACAAATATCCTGCTAAAATGTTACCAGGGCTACATTTAGCATTTTAATTAGCGGGGGCCAGTTCACAGGTTGCCAGGACACTGCTCTCGCTCTCCCATTTAAAGAAAATGAACCATCCTAAAAGAAAAAAAACCCTTAAAGGACCACTATAGGCACCCAGACCACTTCAGCTTAATGAAGTGGTCTGGGTGCCAGGTCCAGCGAGGTTTAACCCTTTTTTCTATAAACATAGCAGTTTCAGAGAAACTGATATGTTTATATTAGGGTTAATCCAGCCTCTAGTGGCTGTCTCATTGATAGCCGCTAGAGGCGCTTCTGCGCTTCTCACTGTGATTTTCACATTGAGAAGACGCCAGCATCCACAGGAAAGCATTGTGAATGCTTTCCTATGAGACTGGCTGAATGCGGGCGTGGCTCTTGCCGCGCATGCGCATTCAGCCGAGGAGGCGGAGAGCTCCCCGCCCTGGAGAAAGAGGTAAGTTTATCCCTTCCACCCCCTAGAGCCCGGCGGGAGGGGGACCCTGAGGATGGGGGCACCCTCAGGGCACTATAGTGCCAGGAAAACTAGTATGTTTTCCTGGCACTATAGTTGTTCTTTAATAAAAAACATGCATTTAATAGTTTTTTCAAATTTGGAGGGGTGTATAAAAAAGATAATTCTGCATGCATTTAAGATATGTTCTGTAGCTACTGTAAGTTCTTTGCTTTATGTTCAACACACATCGATTTTGTGCATTGCCCAGTCAGAGATTACACATTGAGAAGCTTTTATGACAAACCGTGCATGCGCACCACTGGCCAATCATACACTTCTCAAAGAGCCGTATTACCGCTCTAGGAATGACAAACAAAGACACAGCTCTGACATCAGCTGGTAGCAAAGGAAAAGTTTCATAAATATATCTTTAAAAAAGTGCAGATTTCTCTTGAAATCAGTAAAAAAATAAAAATAATAATAATAAGCCGAACGTACCTCATTAAGCTAACGTGCTTTGGTTGCTTGGAGTGTACCTTAAGGGTTAGGATTATACAGGATTTGTCATTAATCTGTTTTATATAAACACAAGTTATACTAATTACCTCTGTAGCTATCTTTTTTTTATTTTTTATTGCAGGTGATATACATCACAATGGTGCAATAAAGGCATAACAAATGACAAATGATATGCCACTAGAATTACAGAAACTATGAGTATTACCCCCCATATTTAAATTTTAGTGTAACATGAGTAGACCAACGATTCTAGCCAGTCGCCGAAGTACGACAACAAGAGAATACTGGCCTATGTTGAATAAGACTATTTTAAAATAACAGATATTAAGAAATCTAACTGGTGGGTACAGCTGTGATGGGTACCCCTAACCAAAGGGTGCAAAGGGGAAGGGGCCTGTGATAAATACACCATGGCTGGTGATTATAGTGAAGTTAAACATTGCACCACGGTGCATTAACAGAACCCTTCCTAACCAGGGTTTATTTTCTTCTTCATCTTCTTCACATTAGTAAAATGAATTGTCTAAAAGGAAAGTTCGAAACATAATGAAAACAACAAGCAAAACAGAGCAAAAATAGCAATGTCCATATTACCCCCAGCTCTAGTCAGGTTCCTGAACGAGTCTCCACTCCCACTCTCGGGACAAAGGGGACTACGATGTTCAGATCCCAAATTTAAGCTGTAGAGTGATTGATTGCTACTGTGGTAGGTACCAGGAGTCCCAGAGAATTAAGAAAAGCAGGCGCCTCAGTAGTTGGAGAGACTAGGTGCAGTTGCATTGTGAGTTCGGCTGCTATCTTTATGGTGTCTCATTGAAAAGCAAAAGGCCAGACTACAATATCAAGAGATGGGAGATAATTTGCCAGACAAAAGAGACTTGAGATTGTAAATTGCAATTTATGAACCTTTAAGACATTTACTGCTTAGTACGTAATATCATGATCTATAATGCACAGCTACTACAGAGTTAAAGAGGAACTTTTAATATTATGCTCATCCCTATCTTTAACAAACGTGCTTGTGAGTTCTAAAATAATAAAATTAAAGGACCACTATAGGCACCCAGACCACTTCAGCTTAATTAAGTGGTCTGGGTGCCAGGTCCAGCTAGGATTAACCCTTTCTGCTGTAAACATAGTTTCAGAGAAACTGCACTGCTATGTTTACTTTAGGGTTAATCCAACCTCTAGTGGCTGTCCCATTGACAGTCGCTAGAGGCGCTTCCCACTGTAATTTTCACAGTGAGAAGCCGCCATCGTCCATGAATGCGCGCGCGGCTCTTGTCGCGCATGCGCATTCAGCCGATGATGGGGAAAGAAGGAGGAGAGTCTCCTCCACCGAGGGAGCCCGGCGCTGGAGAAAGGTAAGTGTTTATCCCCTTCCTCTCCATCCAGCCTGACGGGAGTGGGACCCTGAGGGTGGGGGCACCCTCAGGGCACCATAGTGCCAGGAAAACGAGCATGTTTTCCTGGCACTATAGTGGTCCTTTAAACCCTTAAGGACCAAACTTCTGGAATAAAAGGGAATCATGACATGTCACACATGCCATGTGTCCCTTAAAGGGTTAAACGTAGAACTCTGCATCTCTCTGTCCTGGAACTGGGCGGCTCTATCTTGGCTCCTTGTCAATCATTGTTATAAACTTTGTCTTTGAACCTGGCAGTCGCACAGAAAATATGAGAAACTAAACAATTAATGATTTTGTCCTTCTTCTTTGCCGTGATCTAACTGGATTAGAATGTCGTTTGCTAAATCTTCAATAGAATTTTAATAGAAATTGTTGCATCACATGAAATAAGGTTAACACAAATTATAGGTGATTTTAAATGTTTATGGGTGTTAGTTCCCCTTTAAATACTTATATATAGCGTGGATAAAAATATACATGGTGGGTTGAGAATGGAAACTTCCTTTATTCACTGGTGTATTTGATTTTGCAAGGCAATGTTTCTGGAAACACAGCAGGAGCCCACCTCTCAAAATTATTCTTACTTTAATTTAAATAGGGTCGAAAAGTTGATTACTAATTGTTCACACTATGGAAGTGTACATCTGCAATTCTTTGCCACACCTAATTTATTCTACACTTTACAGAAAATAATAATAAATACGTATATCTAGTCTTTAAAGAATGAAACATTACAAATATGCGTTTGATTGTACATATATAAGGTTATCCAATTTTGTTTAATGCTGCTGCATCTGATTCAGGAGCCTAGCCATAGTGATAGCATATTCTACTATTTATCAAAAACAAGAGACCTAGGTAATAAAATATTAACGAAAAAAGGAAAATATTAACATATATAGCAAAAATATTTAAATAAATATTAATTTAATAAAATCTGCTCCCACTGCTCTATTCTTCTGATTTATATGCTACACCACACATAAGCATACTGTCTGTGTACCTATCATAAAGTGACAGTATGTTTTTCATCATATTTCTTAAAAGTGGTCTAAAAGTCATCTAAAATGTAACAGTTTTTGCCATAGTAAATTCTCAGAGTTTACGCAGAAATTTACATTTCTTAAGAAAAAGGAGCATTTACACCAAAGAAAACAACAAATTGCTCTATGCTAAAAGGCACTTAGACAAATAGAAAAGTACAAAGTGAAAGCAGCTTCCACACAAACATAGGGACTCCCCACCCTACTGTAACAGAATATACAATTTATTAGTAAATGGTAAGAATATACCAATAGTAAGAAAAGTCGTAACGCTAAAATTAGTGTTACACTTACCTCTAGGAGTTGAAAAATGACAACACTGTAAAGATAAATAAAAAATAAAAAAAACACATACCGTATTTATCGGTGTATAACACGCACTTTTTCTCCCTGAAAATAGGGGGCAAATTATGGGTGCGTGTTATACGCCGGACCTTTAAATGCTGCAGCCGCCTGAGCGCTCTGTCAAGAGCGGTCAGGCGGCTGCAGTTGGTTCTCGCCTCCCCTCCCCTGTAGCGTGGCCGAGCTGCTCTGCTGTCCGCGGTGCCCGGCCGGAGTGATAGGAAGGTGCACGCTCAGTGTGCACCTTCCTGTCAGTCCGACCGGGTACAGGAAACAGAAACTCCTGTATTTTAATAGAAATTGTCGCATCACATGAAATAAGGTTAACACAAATTATAGGTGATTTTAAATGTTTATGGGTGTTAGTTCCCCTTTAAATACTTATATATCTAGCGTGGATAAAAATATCTATGGTGGGTTGAGAATGGGAACTTCCTTTATTCACTGGTGTATTTGATTTTGCAAGGCAATGTTTCTGGAAACACAGCAGGAGCCCACCTCTCAAAATTATTCTTACTTTAATTTAAATAGGGTCGAAATGTTACACTGGCTATGAGGATTATTATTATTCCTCCTGGAAGATATTCTAAAATCACCCCAGCACTATGTATTTATTTCATTCAAATAGTCAAATTTCATGTAGCTGTATATGTGGAGACAATATATCACGTTGATTATGTAATAAACAAGGACATTTTTAAGCAGTTGCACATTTTATAAATTAAACTACGTTAATTAGGAAAAATTGTTAACTATTTTTCCAGTTCAGTTAATTTAACGTAAATTCTTTCAGTTCCTCTTGATTGTTGGTTTAATAAATAACCCACAAATAAACGCAGAGTGTGTGTATAGAAGAATATATCTAGTAAGTTATTAATTATTTTTATACTGTATCATGCGCCATCAGAGGCCATTCTAATAATATTGTACAGCACTGCGGAATATGATGTTGCTATATAAATAATAACGGGCAAAACACACCAATGTGCGATATTGAAGGATGGATCTGTAATATTTCCCATGGTATTTTATAAATGATTGAAGACAAGAATGGCATTTGAACGGTTGAAGCAGCAATGCTGTTTACCTGGATCCTGCTGACTGTTGTTTGTGTCTCTTAGCCACCATATGCATAGATGTATGTCAGCAGTGACAAAAGAGTTAAAATTCACATTACAGAAAGCATTGGACTAATAGCAGGGAATCCTTATATAATCATTCATCCTTCCTACATAAAACATCTGTTGGAATAAAATCAATCACATGGCTACAATGTGAGATCTGCTCTTCCTGATTTATGCTATGACTCATGTGCAATAAAAAGAAAAATAATGAACAGAAGGAAAGTAAAACAATAATATAATATATTTGTTTTTTTCATCTGTGATGCAATTTCAGTATTTTTCTAACACCCTGAGGGTTCAAAGAACACTCACATCAACACACACACACACACACACACACACACACAAATATGTAATAGAAATGTATAGCCATGTCCATAAAAGGCATGCAATCCTTCTCAGTGTTTGTATACATTGGCTGACAAGCCTGCTCTACAAGACAGGCCTTCTCAGCAAACACAGAGCATGTGACTGGTATTTTGCTGCAAAATAAAAACAAGCACTGAAGGCAAATCACAGAATTGCAGCTTTAACTTATACTGAAACATGCTTAACTCATTCACTGCTGGGATGGAATACACCTGATCTGCACTTTACTTGCATGTTTTGGTATTTTTTTTCACAAGCACTATCTGTGCAAAACAATCAGTTACACGATTCCAGCGATCATTTGCATGAGCAGCCCTCTGCCACTCAAAGGGTTAAAGCAGTGCAGGCCAAAGGGTAGCTCCCCAGCTCTTGTAGAACTCCAACATCCATGATGCATTGCCAGCAGGAAGCAAGGCCACCTTTTTTTTGGCATCATCTGGGTTAAATAATTCCAATCCAGCACAGTGATGGCTCTCCATTCAAACTAGCAATCAAGGAAGAGATAGATGGTTTGACTTACCCTGCACAAATAGCACTCCCAGTGATTTCCTGCAGAGCTTGCACAGCCTGGGTCTTGGGTTGTGAGGATCTGATGTACACAAAGCCAGACGTGTGTCCTGACAGGGACTGTGATCTCCTCTCCAAAACAGCAAAAAGAGTCTGACACCCAATTCCTGCTGCCAGAGGCTCCTCCCCAGTATTGTGACCCCGCCCATCCAGCCAGCACAACGTTCTATCCCGCCCACCCAGCCAGCACAACGTTCTATGTCTGCCTGCCAGCGACTGGCCGCTAGGTGGATGAGAATGCTGAAAGATGTATTGGAATTCTAAAGTATCCATTCCAGACTGGTATGTAACAGTGCAATCTACAGTGGATTGTAGTGGTTATGGTGCCATTTTAGCTTTGCTTTTAAGCTGTTTTGGAACCAAACACCTGGACTCACAGCCTGTCCCCTCTGCAGCTGCACTTGTAATATTTTTATCAATATGCTCTAAAATGTTGTTGCAGAAATTAAATATATGGACATTGCCATTCTTGGTCTGGCAATTGGGCAAACTAAGCATATGCCACACACATAGCTGGCTGAGGAGATCAGGGAATCTCCCCAAATCACCCTGTGGATCAAAGAAATGTATGTAACCTAGCGGCCACATGATTATATACAGTATTTAACGACCACCGTTTTCTTATTCTGCCTTTTGTCATTTGTGGGCTGCACTGTGAAGAAGCTAGTATTAGTGGCTTGTTCTGCTCCTTGCATCTACCCCGATGATTCAACTGCACCAGAATTAAAGTAGCAGACATCTAGGCAACTAATAGCATGGGCCTCTACAGCTGTAGTGTTTATGGTGTATAGAGTGTCCCTTTAAGGACCCAGAACACTTTTGACAATTTTTTTTTATTTTTTATATTTCTTTATTTCTGCAGTTTTTGAGATGAAATAATGGGTTTACAAAACATAAATCTATGCTCCACCTCCCCCCACCCGAGTAATAAACACTATTAGATTTTCGTTAACCTGTTAGACATATATATTGTTATATCCATAAAACATATTTATGTATTCATGAAATAATGCATATACAGCTTTAACACATTGCTGTTGCTTCAAGTGAATAGTGATTTTTCTAATGGCATGCAATTAAACAAACAGAAACCAATAAAGATTTGCTAATATAATCTAATGTATATATAATTTATTGGGGACCCCATTGCACAAGGTGGGTTATTGCTTGGATCGGCATAGGGTGGACACCACCCAGGTTTTACCTATTACATTTAGGATGAAGGTGCTATTGGGGTCTCAGCATATCACTGGACTGGGGGGGGAGGCTACTCGACCAGTGCGAATGTTATGTAGAATTGATCTTGAATTGTGGATAGGGACATTTTAAAGTGATGTATGAAAGAGTTACATTCTTAGGGTTAATGTTGGTAGGTCTCTGCTACGGTAGTTAGTGAGGTCCTAAATTCAGGCCGCACCATCATCCAGAACATAACTCCTGCTGTGCTAAGCAGTGTTCATTCTGGCGGATACACTGATAGGTAAAACAGTGATTTTAGGGATATTTTTGTCTTTAGTGTACATGATAAAGGTTTGTCACCTGATACGGTCATAAATTAGTTTTTGGGCAGCTTGCGTATGGAGAACTACTATGAAGGTCAAATCAAAGTAAAAATAAAAGCCTTCATTTTGCATGTACACATGATAAACAGTGAAAGGAAGAGATACACGTTTGTACCACTGAATACATATACATAAAGATAGCTACGCATGGACATTTATTATAATTGTAGGGGGAACTATAATAAAATAAACGTATGTCTGATCAATAGACACATAACAGTGTCTGATCTGTAGTCAGATCTTAGCTGATATGAGTATGTTCCTGCATTGACATTTTTACTACTGTGACATATTGATGTACTGGGTTTATGTTTCATTTAGGGGCAATTTGCAGCTTCCAAAATCAAATTACTCCATACATGTATATGTTTCACATACGTAAAAACCCAGAGTATCCCACAGGATGTATTTTAGCCTGACCCTGGGGCTATTTTATCTTTTTTTATTTTTATTTTTTTGCCTTTTCTAACATTCTTTCATATTGCACTTTTTCTGTGTTCTGCAAGCCAGATCCGTTGTTGCAGTACAAACATACAATGTACACGTGTAGATTTTAAATACTTTTGTGAAATTACAGGAACAAATTAGCAACTTGACTGTTTTTAAAAAAAAAAAAAACTTATATCAAATATTGATCTTTTTGAGGCTCTTGGTAAAGGCTTTATTATAAACCGCATACCCATACAGGATTTGTTTCTGCAGCATTTATAAAGGACAACTTTGGACATAAACCCCTTTTGCCCAAAGAGTAGTGCATTTCCTCAAATAAAGAGAAAAATGAAAAGAAAAAAAGTGCGCACAACAAATTAAAACAGAACAAAAACAACCACTTGATTTAATCAGTGGCATGAAGGTATGCGCAAATGATAAAGGTGAATTATCTACTCCAAAGTATTTTCAAGTAGACCACAGCTGTTAGATCGGTCAAAGTGTATGTTCCTTTTTAAATGTAATCTAAGCGCAGATTAAATTCAAAAATGTAACTTGGTAACCATTTATTGCCAAAGCAGCATTTAGGACCCTTAGGGCATAATATGGCGTGGATTGCCAGAGGCAAAAGAAGGCTAGAAAATGCAGAAGAGCTCACATAACATTAACCAGTGTGGAACAGCACTGACCTCCATAAAACAGTAAATCTCACTCATGAAATTAATTTTGTTGTAGACTTTAAGGAATTCCTCAACTCATCATTGATATGAAGTTATCAAAAAAGCCATAAGGAAAGTTTGGGTCAATTTTTTTTTTTTTTTTAACAGGTGCAAGATTGAAGCACAAAAGCTTTGTTTCATCTAAATCATCAATGGCAAACAGTCTTCATCGATTAAGACACCCTAAACAGTTGATGTCAAAGCCAGGAAGTCACGAACTAAATATTTCAAAGGACATCCTTTGCAAACCATTACTGAATATTTTATTGTATTGGTCATTACTTAAGAGCCCTGCCCTTATCAATTACTGCTACTGACCGGATGTGCTGTCCGACATATTTAGTTCAGAGCGCTTCAGGTGTACAATGCATGTGGACTGCAGTACTGGATTGTATGAAAGGTGGGTACAATGGATAAGGCTATCACTGCAGATTTCACTTCTTAAGGAGAAAAATCATATGGGGGAGCATTATTTGACTTTGTAAGGTTTAGACATGCATCAGGTTATATTGTTGCATTCATAAGAAGAAAGATATCCTGTTATAACTGATGCCTTAAAACAGTAACCCGTGTCATCAGGCTGTCACTCCTATTACCTGAGCTCTACTGAAATTTAAGCTTAAACAACCTCAACTAGTGTAGTGTCTTCCTTGTCCAAAGCCAGACTGGTTATACTGATAACCTCCGTGTTGAAAGTGCTGCTCAAACTGACCGCCCTGGTTATAGTTTTGGGCACCTCGTAATCCCCAACCTCCACCTTGTCCTCCTCTTCCACCACGACCACCACGGCCCCCTCTCCCACCTCCACGGCTGCCTCCCCTGTCATTGGGGTGACCACCGTCTTGATATCTGTTGTCTTGTTGATAACCTCCACCCTGGTATCCACTTCCAGAATAGGACGACCCTTGGTAGCCACCATATGCTCCACTGCTTCCTTGATATCCACCTTGGTAGCCGCCAGTTTGAACACCAGAATCTCGATAACCACCATCGTGATAGCCGCCTCCTGTACTGCTACCACCACCGTCTGTCCAGCCTCCTTGAACTTTACTTCCTCTAGTTCCTCTGCCACCATGGTCATAACTCCCACGACCACCTCCTCGCCCACCACTGTGGTCATAACCTCCTCGCCCACCACTGTGGTCATGGCTTCCTCTTCCACCACCTTGGTCATAGCCTCCTCTGCCACTATATGACTGCTCATATCCACCTCTTCCTCCTCCTCTGCTGCCTCCTTGTGGTGGTCCATCATTTCTCTTCTGCCAGGGAGGCATTTCTGGAGGAGGTGGTTCTATTTCATTTGGTCTGCCTCCTCTGTCTGGAACTCTTCCCATTAATACCTTATTTATAGCACAGGCAGTTTTTTCCCGGATTGATCCGCTGCTAGTTCTCAGAATCTTTGACAAGTCATGGCGGGCTGCTAAGAGATGCGCCACAGAAATTGAGCCTTTCGCTGCCAATAAAGCCCTCCTTGGCTGGTATGCTTTTCCAAGTTTCTCAGTCTGGCTCTTGGCACGATCGGACCAACCAAATGATTGTATTGTTACATCCAAACGTTTAATCAACATTTTTCTGCGCACTTCATATTCATTGGATATGGCTTGGTTAATTGCTTCAATTTTTTCCCAATGAGAAGGGCCCAATGTCTTGCTTAAGAGGGGCTTTCCTAAATGATTAGGTGGCACTTTTAAAAAGGTCTCCTTCAACTTTTTTTCAATTCCACTAAAAAATTGGAACATCGTAATGTTGGCAGGAGGTTTAGACATTCCCAGTGTCATGCATATGCTCTTGAGTTCGACAAATACCTCACTACCACCACCATCCTTCTCCTTCTTTGAAGGCATAGTAACACAAAGCATTCTAGCAGCTTCAAGTTCAGAAATGAGATATGTTAGCAGGAGAAGACAATTTATTTTGTCCAGGAGGCGTTTTGTAACATCTCCTGATGTTAGACAGGCATATGGACAGCTCATTTCGGTTAAAAGACCGCTCATTTCTAGTTGGAATCCTTCCGATTCAGCAGGGCTGTTAGTGGCTTCCACGTTTTCTTCTAGTTTGCTGAAAGATTTAAGCTCTGTCACCAGCCACGCACAGAGTTTGGTATATTCTGGAGAAAGGGCTCCCTCACTGGCTGCCTGGATCAAGGCTCCTTCATCCATTAGTGCACCTTTATAGCCCAGGTCTTCCAGTGACTCCAACACGTCATTCTCCAGCATGTCACACTCCATAATGGCAGATATTAGCAGTGTCTGCGCTCCGCTAGGCCCAGTGACTCTGATGGCGGATCGGCGGCCCCGCTGGAAGATGTGAGCTGTGAGCTGTCCCTGGGAGGGGAGGACAGCCTCGGAGTCAGCCGGTGTGACACTCCCCGGTGCTCAGACACAGCCGGTAACCTCCTCTCTCCCCCCCCTCACTCGGCAACTGAAATATTGATCATTTTTAAAGCCCGGCTACTAGCACAAGACTTGACACCCTTGAGAAAGACGTTGAGCCAAATCGTTTGGGTTTATGCCTCCGATCTTAGGTCACTGTACAGTAAGATGGGTTTATGATTTATACACATTTTTTCTGTTTGTATTTATTTATCTTTGGTATAGCCTTTTTGCAATATTTATAGTGTAAATTTTATCTGCACCATGTACTCTATTCATGATCTTTTTTGCTCTCTGATATATAAATAAAATCCTTTTTGCAGAATTAGTATGGTGTGATATTGTTTTCGTTGAGTAATCATTAAAAAAATTTTTACTAGGAAAATGGGGTGGACAAAATGTGTTGGATAGAAGGGAAACTATAGTTCCAAAAGAATGTAGCCCATGGAGCAGCGTAGCTAAGGGGAGTGGGCCTTGACATTGCCAGGAGACAGGCCATCTAAAGGTCAGGGGGTCAGGGTTTGGTCACTGGTAATGCTGGGGTGGAGTTTCAAGGGGAGGATAAGTAGTGGCCATTTTATATGCAAGGATCACTTTAATCTAAGTTACACTACCTGTTTGTTGTCCCACCCTCCCTTAGCTTTCAGGTGTTTCCTGTTTGGTCACGGCGGCGGGGGGTGGAGAGTAAAGTTGGGGGGAGAAAAGAGTGAGATGGGGAAAAAGTTTGGAGTTCAGGGCTAATAGGTAGGCTTTTGGACTGGTTTGGTAGGTTCGAGCTCGTAGGTAACTCCGAACCGGGGTGTGTATGGGGTGTCTCGGTATGCCCCTACACTTGTGGTGCCCTTTGGTGGCAATGGATGGTGCCCTTTGGTGGCAATGGTCATGTTCATGTTAAATAAAATGTTCAATGTTTGGGTGTTATGTTATGTGGGGGTGGGTCATTGTCAAGGGGTTAATTGTAAATGCAGGATGTTAATTGTGCAGGCCAACGTTGGCCTGCTGTTGACAATGACCTTTAAATTTATGTTAATTACAAATAAAGCTGTGATATAATTTTGCCAAAACCATGGTGTCTGTGCTTTATTGGGGATTGGGGTATTTGGTGGGGGTTCTTAAGCAGAGGCCGACAAGGCGACTGTGCTCATGTCATGATTCTTATTTGCAGGACTATAGGTTCCCTTTAAGTATCTCACATGTTGTATTCCGAGCTTTATCATGGAGATATGTGTTGTCTCAGGGACTGTAATGACACAGATAACAAGAATACCTGTGTGGTTGTCCTAGAGTCATAACAGTGGGATCCAGGGCTTAGAGGTTACGATCAGGAGATGTAAAGGGTACTTTCCTAAACGATGTTGTCGAAAGTAGTTCCCATCACTCTCAGCCAGACTTTGCTTGTTACCAACATAGGTATATGCTCAGTGTACACGGTGCATAGCGCTCTATATGTGCAACGTGTGACTGCTGCATGAGAGGGTATCTCCTTTTTTTGCTGCTAAACAATGTCCTGATCTTTGTTCTTTGTGCTCCTATTCTTACACAGAGCCCAGTGCTGACCAAAGTGCAGGATGTGAGATTAGGCTGGGGTGGGGGCAAGCAGGAAGTCTGGATCGGGGTCTTTTTAAACCCTGAGTGTTTTTCACTCAGTGAGAGGAGATCAGCCATGGTTATTTTCATACATTTATACAGAGCTATGCAAAGCTAACCATGTTACATTATCAATATCAGACTGGTATATTAGCACTGATGAAAATCCCTCACTCACAAAAAACATATAACCGCAACTCCAAAATTAATTTAGCACAGATATACTGGTTTTCATCATATTTATAGCAGTTCAATGGGTGCAATAACAGGGTTACCTTCTCATTGCTGGAATCCTCCCTGTAATCAAATGATACTTCACACAGGACACGTTTGTTGATCCACACTCAGGGAATCCCCAAAATACATGAGGAAGAAATCATAGTATAAAATGAAAATACATATGGCAAGATACTAGAACAGCAGTTCTCATGTATGCTGTATTGGTCCAAGCATGTAAAAATGGAAAAAAAAAGGTTGTGAGTGAACAAAGTATAAAAAGTCCAAAACCTGAGCATAGGACCACCTATTTAGCATTTTAGGCCCAGACTCAGATGTTTGCAGCACTTACCCCTTACCTATTGTCTCCTTCAGTGGACCATAATTACCCTGCTTCAAAAGTGAGCATATTGAGCTTGTATATAGACTGCAAGCTCGTTTGAGCAGGGTCCTCTTCAACCTATTGTTTCTGTAAGTTTTCTTGTAATTGTCCTATTTGTAGTTAAACCCCCCTCTCATAATATTGTACAGCGCTACGGAATCTGTTATAGAAATGGTTATAATAATAATAATAATATTAAGCTCCTGAGTGACATTAGGAAGCTGTTCCAAGCAGATACTGCCATCTTACAGGAAATATCCCATTCGGGTCAGATAGGACGTACTATGGGGGAGGCTTCAAAGGCAAAGCTACGGAAGTGAATTAAGTCCCACTCTGCCCTATCTTTACTGGTCATAACCTTGGATGATACAGCCTGTAGAAGAAACGTGAAGATCTGAGGTATCGGCAAATCAGTAGGATTGGATGAATTACCTCATTTGTATGGAGGCATTTCTCTACACTTTACATTCTAAAGAGGCCAAAGGAGTGGCTGTAAATAGGGTCTACTGGATCTCTAAGTCTCCTCGTGCCCCATAGTCATTCTCCATGGATGTGATTCTTTGTTTTCAAGCAATACAGGACAAATATACTGGGACACAACAAATACTTGTTGTGGACAAGGTCGGCAAACCGCACAATTTAACAGTACCTTCTGAGTCTGAAGTATTTTTTGAATCTTTGGGCATCGCTATGTTTACACTCGTTAGCGGACTTTACTACTCATATCTGGGCTGTAACAAATTTTCTTCCATTTGTCCAAGAAAGCGCTGAGGAAATGGGTTAAGGAGGCTTTTAGAAGACTGCCCTTTGCATTGAGGGCAGTTTGGGGTTTGTCTAAGGTTTGATTATGTGTTTGTTTGTCTGTTTTCTTTCTGCCTGCTCAGCAACATTACTGTGTTCTCATTTTTGTCTGTATCCCCCCCCAAATGTCACCAAATTGTGACCAACTTTTAAATGCTCTACATTAGAATTTGCACTGTGTCTAACCACATTTTTCTATGTAAGCCTTACTGTAACCCTACTGGGTACCAAGTAATCTTGGCTTTTATCTTTCCCCTCCATTATGATGGAGATTGTTTTAACCAGCTCTGTTCCTTGTTTTTATGGGTTTTTTTTCTTGGTAATTTATAAACTACTGTCTTCCCTATATACTTACTAAATGGGGTTTTAATTTCTCCCATTATACAACACATATGGGATATTTTGGTGATATTACAATTCTTAATGATTGTAACAGATGTATTTTCTTGCCCACAAAAATAAGGGATAAAAAAAAATAGATTAAAAACTTTAGTAACTGACATCACAATTCAGTTCAATCTAGGCAGACCCAGCACACACCGTGCAAATGAAATATTGTTTCATTTTTCTTATATTCTGTATGCTTTCGCTATGTGGACGGCCATGCACATTGACAGGAACTATGATGGAGGTGCCAAATTGAAGAATAAAGAGGTGTGGATATCTACATTTAATTTGATTTTTCACAACTCATAAATATATATTTGGTAATGGAACACTATATCGTTAGGAATACAAATATGTGTTCCCAAAGCTATAGTGACCTGTTGGCTGTTTTGGACCCCGGACCCAACCTGCAGGGAGTGAAAAAAGGTCGCTTATTTACCTTTTCTCCCTCACAGCTCCATTTTACACGCTGCAGTCACTCTTCCTTGGCTGAGATCATCAAGATTGATGATCTCAGAAAATCTTATGTTTTCCCATAAAAAATAATTGGGAGGCTGGTGAGCATGCGCGGAAAAAATGCTGCACTAATCAGATGGTCTCTATAGTTTGTCAGAAGCGCCTCCTGAGTGACAGCCACAAGAGGCATTAACATAATGGCAGTGTTCTAACTTGCAGGTTAAAACATGGGGGACATGGCACCCAGGGTGTCTATAATGTCCCTTTTAAATATAAAGGGTAGGTAAACATTCAAAGATACTTAAAAGATGCTTGGAAGAGTTACACAATTGCAAAGACATGAAACGTGAATCACTACTGTTGTGACAATATTAGGCACCAGCCAACATTATATTGCAAACAGATTCCAAAAATCTAATTTACATTTTCTTTATTAATTATTGGGATGAATAAAACCCCTTTTGCTAATTTAGATATGGGATTTGCTATTCATGATTTACATCAGTGTTGGTCAAAATATAGAGATTAGAGAGCAAATACAATAAGCAAAACTTTTTAAAAATCTGGAATCCTTGGATTGATTATTGGTTATCGAAATAAGGAAACCTTGTTGAGGTCCCCTGAATATTAAATGGCAATTTAATTATTAATCAATTGTCCTGTTTGCAATTTGTATTTGTCCTACCTAACCTTATTATCTTTGTAAGACTAACTGAATTATCTGCAAGGCTTTTGGAAGGAATTTATTCTTACAACAACTGATGTAAGACTGTAATGGTCTGTTTTGGTTTTCTTTTCTCTTTTTTACTCAGTTTTTTTTCTTTCTTCAGGTTTTCGTACTTTCTTTTTATCTCTTTCACCTTTGAGAAAACTATGGCTGCTATATCTTATTAATGGATATTACTAGAGATGGTAGTGATAATGAATTGATCATTTATATTTGGAAGTATCCCAAATCTCTTTTCTATATGATGTAATTATTTCTATAAATAATAAAAATTTATATTGGGGGAAAAAAAGAAAGATAGAGCTCCTGTTATTAAAAAAAAACTGCAACTCCCACAAGGATCTGCAAGCTATCCAGCTAACAACGGATTTGGGGGGGTTGTAGTTCTGCACCAGCGGCAGCGAGTAATCAGTTACTGGGTCATTCAGACTCGATTGTGTCAATGGGGTTCTTAGGTGTTTGATTCATTTCATAAATGTAAAGTTTTTGGTATTAAAATTTTGTAAAAGTGACTAAAATCTGCTCCAGGCTAATATATGTAAGCAATTGTCCCCCCACTGTCTGGCACTAAGCACCCTGCTCCCAGCTGGTGTCCGCACTCCACCCATTTGGAGTAGTGTACCAGGCACGTGTGCTTCTGAAAAAAATACTCTAAACTATTTAAAGTGCAGCCTTGTCACAGCCAGCTGTCATGTAATACATCCTTATTAGTGCTCAAGTAAAGAGATCACAGATTTAATCCTGGACTTCCATGGGGGGAAAAGCGTGTTTCAAGTTACAAAACTACCCCATATCTCTTCCTCTGTTTGACAAGTCAGGCTGGTGGCTTAGACATTGCTATTAACTAAAGTGTGAAATGTCAGGAATTCTAACACGGTTATTCAATAAAAGGGAGAATTCCAAAATAATTCAAAATTAATTTCAAATTTAAGACCAGAGTAGTCAAACTGGTAGTACAGCAGTTAGTTTGGCTATTATGATCTTAAATTTGAAATTCACTTGCAATTCTCACTGTAGTGAATAGCCCTGAAAGTGAATTTATTTATTTTTGTCCAAAACAGCCTAATTGGAAAAATTCTCCCTGTCTGCTACGGTTTCAGTTTGGTAATTCTGGCCTGACATTTGAAGGAACACTAAAGCTTTTGGAATTCAAAGATGTACTCCTAATGCTATGGTGTTACCTGATTTATTTTTATTATGCCTTCTCAGCCTAGACCTACAAAAAAAAAAATGAGTATAATTTACCTTTAATGCATCGGCGCGCTGGTCTCTGGCAGCCTCCTCATCAAACTAGAGCTTACAGAGCGAAAACGCTGAACGTTGGTTATGCAATGTTTGCAGGACCAAGCCATGGAAGCCAGTCTAGTGACTATTTCCAAAGAATGGTCCAGCACACAAGTCTTGGTATAAGTAGCTTAAAAGGAACAAAGCTAAAGGACAGAGTGTTAGAGTGACAGCCACCAGAGATGCCCTTAGGCAGCAGTGTAAACATTGCCTTTTCACAGGGAATCAACTTTCCAGAGAGGCCAGCCGTTCTACAGACTCTGGGGTGTGAGAGTGGTTGTATATTATGTGTGTATGTATCTGTGTATATGTGTGGACTGGAGGTGTGTAGTTGTATATTCGTGCATTTAAATTGTGTAGTTTGGTGTGTGCATTTGTGTGTAAGAGAGTGCGTACCTGTGTGTGTCTGTGTGTATTGGAGAGTATGTTTGTACGTAAGGGAGCATTGATTTGCATGTGTGTGGCATTTGGCAGTAATGATCTGTGGCATTTGAGGCAGCAACTCCCAGGGTAAATTACATTTGAGACCCCTGCTTGAAAAACTATTGCAGTTTGCTGAAGTGGTTATAGTGCTTAGAGTCCCTAGCACTGTCCCGCAGCGGTTTGATATGAAGCCGTGTTCTTCCCAATAGACTGCCCTCACCTTGACTGCTTTAATAATGTGGAACACTTCAATGTCAAGTGTGTAACGCCTGGACAAAACTCTGATTGGCTGAGAATGCAACAGCGACATTCTCTGTTAAATTCTTACTACACCAATTAGGGGGGTCTGAACAACAAGAGGAGCATTATAGACTTGTCTGCTCACCCCTTCTACCTAGATAA